GTGCGAACGTGATTGTGAAGACGCGTTTCGCGCCATCTGTTTAAATTTAACACGGACAGGAATTTATACGATGTTGTACATACGTTTTTATACATACTTGAGAGAGAGAGAGAGAGAGTGTGTGTGTGTAACGTAGTGCACAGCGTGTCAGTTACTTGGTACTACATCCGGCTCGAAAATGCCGATATGATGTTTATGGATTTTGCGATGGCGCTGTGCTCTCTTGTTGCCGAATACCGGCGATTATTTTCCGATAGACAAATTCCAAAGCGCGGAAAGTGTTTATTAGAGATGCATTCAATGTTTAGTCAATATGGTTGGGGGCGGTATACACGTTGCACGTATGTATGTATCTGTACTATCGTTTAGGATCAAATCCATACATATATATATATATATATATATATATATATTTGCGAAAAAACTCGCTCGGGAACGAGTCAAAGAATTCGCGGCGCGCGAAAGTTTTCACGTTGAATAAATAATGACGTTCAATCTCCGCAAACGAAAAGCATTTGAATTCGACAACGTAAAAAAAAAAACTTACATTATGTGTAGGAAATCGAAAACGTATATGATTTTTGACGTAAAATCGTATAAGAAAAAAATCGGAAATTAATGTCAGAGAGAGGGTCAAGACGTCTTATTTCGCTTGTCTTATTGACGTTCGTGGAATGTCAGGCATCTGCTGATTGAATTCGGGCTTTCCACGGGTTGCGCGTCGCGTTTGATAAATGTTGTCCGTCTCCCGCGCGATATGGCCGGATAATATCTGTAAGAATCTGATAAAGAGAGAGAGAGAGAGAACGCGGAGGATAGGAGACGCCCTTTTTGTGTCGACGACGGACGCCGGTCGTTTGTAATTCGAATCCATCGCGTTTCGCGATTCGCCCTTCGGGTGCGAAGAAACCGGAGTTTCGACGCTTGTACCACGTCAGCGTGGAATCTCCCGGAGTAATTTATGATCCCGCCGCGTTTCCGAATTAAGTCTTCCATTTTTCCCGCCAGACCGTTACGTTTGTTTGAATTAGATCGCGCCCTTCGTTTCACTCGAAGTTTGACGCGTATCATCAGGCCAATGCGAAGTATTGTATTTCTCGAGAAGAGGTTGAAATAGGCGTGCAATTTAATCAAGTTTCTCGATTAAGTTACGCGCATTGCAAGGAACATCGACAATATAATTCCGCCTCTCGCAATTACAACGAAAGGGATATATATCCTTTTAGATCGCGTTGCGTCTACAACGAGGACACTCGTTAGGAGAGAGTCGCGAAACTCCTTTCGCCTCGAATATCAGGGGGACTTCTCTTGTGAGGGAGGACGTTTCCTTCGCAGAAGTCCGGATCACGTTACGACCGTTCCCGCGGCTCGTTTATTATTTCGACTCGGTCGAAATCTCTGCGAAGAGACGATCCTCGTATAATGCACGTGTTTCTCACACCCTTCTGCGGAATTTAACGTCCAATTACATACTCGAAATATCATGTGTTGTTATTTACGTTAATATCGCATCTTTTTGACGCGGTCGCAAACCGTAGTACAATTCGGAAACTGTGAATCATCTCCCCCTCCTCTCCTGTCCCTTATCGAAAATTTATCGCATGCAAAGTAGACAGCGGGGTGTGTGACGGTGATGAAAATTTTCATTTTCAATTAGCGGCGATCCTGTGAAGTATTTTCATCCCCGTCGTCTGATGGTTATGAATGTAACAGTGTGTCGATCGGTGTTACGACGTTCGGGGCTTTACGTTTACTCGATAACGGGATAAACACGCGAATAATTGGGGATTCGCGATTTAGGTAAAAAAAAAAAAAAAAAAAAAAAAAAAAAATGTTTACACACGCCGCGACATGCGAGGACGCGTCGCGATAAAAATTCATTGGCGTATGTGAATGCTGGAACGCCGATGGCACGTGCATCGTTTATTAAAAAAGCTGTTGGACGGACGCGCCGCGATCGAAGAGCGCGGGGACATACCTTCGCCATTTTACAGAGGCCCTTTGTCGTGCCGAAATTACAATTGCTATCGTCATTATCGGATGCGTTATGCGCACGATGCGTTTGGTGGACGTGGAAATCCCTCCCCCCTCCTCCCCTCACCATTGTTCGTCGCGCGCGCGTTTCGTTTTTGATCGAAAACGTCAAAGCGACCGAAAAAAAAAACATACGTCTCTCTCTCTCTCTCTCTCTTATTCTGAAATGCCGATCGTCGGAAAAAATTCGCTCTGTCGAGACGCGCGGATTTCTCGCGCGTTAATTTCGCGAGAATCCGACATCGCGACGAGATCTGGAATCGTGGTTTCTCGCTCCTCTCTCGGCCTTCGAAACCTTGCCGCCTCTTAATGAACTCCCGCTGTTTCGAGGCGGTCGTTCCTGAAGGTCGGGGAACGGAGAATCCCCGCGGAGTCCATCATTACCGACTCAAAATTAAAGCCAAAGATACAGAAGGGCGCGTTTTCGGCTTATTAGTTTCGCAGCGCGTAAAGCGAGCGCGCATCAGAGACGAAGGAAAGGATATATGGGAACGGCTAGCGTGCAAAATCTCGTATGTGTGCGCGATGAGCGCCGGCAATTATTTATCAACAAATTAATTATCGCGACGAAACAACAGACGAATTTAATATAAACGTTCCGTCGCTTCTTCTCGCGGCTAACGAGGTTGTAATTTCGATTGGTGGATGTGGCGGCGCTTCGTTATTCCTCGACGAGACGTTGAGGAAATTGTTTCTCTCTCTCGCACGCACGCGCGCGCGCGCACGACTGAGCCCCGACTAAAGCGCCGCGATCACTAATTATTCGCGTATCGTCGAGATTCATGAGCATAGGAGCCGTATTACGCGCGCATAATGAATCCCGTATTAACGCATTTGCGAATACGCGTCGGGCGGACGTAGACACACACGCGCGCGCGAAAATGCCTGCACAAATACGCGTGGCATAGATGTGTATTACACATGGGGAAAGGAGAAAGAGCTCGCTCTCGCGTCGTCGAACGTATAATATTCAACTAATTACAAATTTAATATCTTCGGTTCTTGCAGGGGCTCTGCGCGGTGTGTGTCTAAATAAATCACTCTCATCGAGGAGGAGACAAAACAGAAGAAAAATACAGATTAAAAATTTCTGTCTCGCGAAAATAGATTTCGACGCGAAGTTTGATCGCGCGCAAGAGTCGCGAAATATCCTCTTCCTCGAAGTTTTTCTCCGTCGAGAAGTTTTTTACATTCTGCAAAGCGCACACACAGGGCATGCTTTCCGTTTCCCTTAACACCGCCGTAACTTATCGCTCGTAGACACAGTATTTCTCTCCGGCTCTTTGAAAGCATTTTCTCATTAAAAAATTAAGGGTAGGAAGGAGGCGGGTGGCAGGGGGTGGGGGTGAAAAAGAGCAAAGCGGTTGCAGAAGAGAGACGAACGGAGGGCAAAGGGGGGACACACCGAGTTCGCGGTGCAGAAACGAAGCGTGGGGTTGAGACAGGAGGGTTTTGCGGCGATGGGTAGGAGGTCTCGGGGATGGACGGAGGGGTCGGTAAGTGCTCTGCGGCTCCCAGATGCGCCCAATATTATGTTTAATGATATTAACTTCTTACTTAATGGTCCGCGGTTCGATTCGAGGTGCGAAAGAGACCTCCTCCTCCCCCCCTCCCCACCCCGAACCGCAACTCGTGGAAGCCGGAAAAAGTATACCCGGGAGAATAATTTGGCGAGCACGAGGAAAGGAAAAAAGGAAGAAGTTACAAGGGAAGAAGAGAAGTGGATATGGTGCGGTAAAAGAGCCTAATCACTCGAGGGACGCGTCCATTTCTCTTTCTCTCTTATTCTCTTGTTCCTCTTTCTCTCTTTCTCCTCTCTCCTCGCTCCTTGCAAAATAAATCCGCGACTACGTGGATGACCTCCGCTATAAACCTCGCGATAAAAGCCGCGTCCCCTCTTTTTCCGCAGCCGAGGGTCGCTCTCGCTCGCAACTCTTTACGCACGATTAAGGAATCCTGTGTCCTTTAGTCAAAGTGCTGCGAAACTTTTGTCGTCGCCGAGAATTATTTTCTCCCTGCCACGAGATGATATTATTTTACACGGGAACAAGCGGATATTATATTCATTAATTCTATTCGCGTCACGGCGGCGGCGTCACGATCAAATTTCGACCGTAGATCGCGATGAATGTGAAAAATCCGCGAGAAAAAAAGCACTTTCGGCGTGTGCAAGGAAACAACATTGTAAAATACAACTTTTTTATACAAAACTTTTGTCTCATTTGTGTCGTTCACCGCAAACTTTTTACAGTAGATATATAATTTCGCGATTCTCGGCTTCTTGGATGCTGAACTTCGCGACAAAAATCCCGACGATTACGAGTAAGCTGCGCGCGACAAATCCTCGCGCCAGAGAACCCGAGCGTCAAACAATACAAAGCCAAGATTAAAAGTTTCCCGAAACGGTAGCGCAAAATCTTGACGTTGCATTAACGAGCGACGACTTCGTAAATAAATTGAGACGCTCGTGAGAAAATCAAAGTAAAAATATCAAACTCTCGCACGAAAATCAGCCGCGAATTCGTCTTTTGTTCAGATTGTTTTCTTTTTTTTTAACAAATTGAATATCTTTGGATAAATTTTATTTATTTCTACATTAGCGTGACACGCGCGATTCTTCATCACCATCATCGTCATCGTCATAGGCGGGCTTTGCGGTGGGTTTCGGATCAGAGTGCGAGACATTCGCAAAAGGGCGAAGCGATTAAAGGACGATAATACACGGTGTACAGTGATACGACAAGAAAGAGGGAAAGAGAGAGAGAGAGAAACCGTCGCGCGGTGTGAGACCGGCACTTATCTTCCTACGCGAATCCCTTGCCCACCGACTAGAATAATTATTTAATTAATACCCTAACCGTATATATAGCCAAGCGCGCGGCGGAGTCCACCTCCGCACTCGGTCGATTTAAATCCCCCCGGATTAATACGGAAACCTTTCTTTTCTCTCTCCTTCTCTGTTGCAGGCTTCGCGAGGAGAGGGGCGACGCCGAGAGAGCGCTGGCTTTGGACCACAAACCCAGGGACCTCAGTTCGCATAATGGTAAGATTTTAATGGCGACCGAGAGCATGCAACACACACACACACATACACACTTTATTTAATCGAAAAGCAATTCCTTCGCTCCACAAGAAAATCATTGTATCGCTAAATCGAACATTATTTATGTCATGTGACATTGCAATTATGTTGCCATATTTTAGATAAATATTTCGAATATTTATATAAAGCATACGGAAACTTTTCGATATCGTTTTTTTACACTTTAATCGTCACCTGTCGTTTAACGAGTTGTCGGGTAACAAGAGACATTCGATCGTTAGTTAGTTTCTTCGAGAAAGTGGTTCGATCGAGATACGAACGTGAAGAAGCCAAGTGACGCATAAAGATTTTCGACCTCGGCGGTCATCGGTGTTCGATCGTTCTTTTCTGTATTTCTATCTTTTCTTCGATTCGTGTGTGTGTCCGCGGAGCGGATAAATGCCGGGCGTCCCGAGCGTTTAGAATTCCGGAGATTGAGTTCGATATCGGGTTACGTCTCCGGACGCGGTCTCTCCTCTCCTTTTGATTCCTTCCATAGTTATAATCCTCGTCTGAAATGGAACACTTTATCTTCCGTGATGTGTGTCCGCCACCGCCGAAGACGATTTTCGACGACCCGTCAAATATCGCTCGCTCCAAGATTGATCGTATTTGCATGTTTGAATGCACGCGCGCGAATCGCACGCGTTACGTAAGAAATTCTCAGCGGCTTCTTTAGCGGCAGTCACACATACACGATGAGATCGAAGTCAGCGCGAAAGACGCGATTTGTTAGATACCGAGTAGGAAACCCTTTCGACGAGGTACAGCTTCGGGCGAGTACGTGCGAATGGCAGAGTCGCTGGGTTCCGGTGCGTGTGTCCTCTCTCTTTCTGTCTCTCTCTCTCTCTCTATCTCTTTCTCTCTTTCTCTCGGTTAGATCACGAGCAGCCCCCGGAGCAATGCGTCACCGGCGACGACCGTTGCCCAAACAGTATCTATCTACGTCAGGATTAAAATACTAGGATATCAAATACGCCGGGGTTTAGGCGGAGCAAGGAAAAAGGGATGCGGAAAGAGAAAGATGTAGTCGAGCGTGGAGAGTGCGGGAGAGATTCGGAAAGTGGATAGGTCTGCGTGTTCTCGGTCTAAACGGGGCGATGCGCGGCGGCAAATAAAATCCATCAACTTGTCAAGTCCGGTCGATGGACGACGCGCGTTCTTCGTATAACCGTACGCGCGTTCTTCTCGGGGAAAAGATTGACGCCGTATTTCCCGTGCGTTATCCGTGTCGAGTGTAGATACATGGATGTTAATCTGACAAAGAGAGAGAGAGAGAGAGAGAGAGAGAGAGAGAGAGAGAGAGAGAGAGAGAGAGAGAGAGAGAATCTTGTGCAGAGCAATCGCGAAGACACAGATCGCGTGTACACTGTGTAATACGAACACTGGAGAATGTGCACGTGACCACATCTGTCAATTTGACGGATTTTAACGAAAAAAAAAAAAAACATTTAATTATTTATTATTGATTTCTTTAAATATTCAAATAATCACTCACAACAAACAAAGCAGCTCTCAGTCGCCAAGATTTTTCACACTTCACGCTTATTTTTTTTTTTTTTTGTTTTAAAAATTAAAAACTACTCAAAACATTTCCCGTAGCAATTAGATCGCATTTCTGAGAAGTCTTGACGTTTTGATTGCATGTGTAATTGCATATGTTTTAATTGCATTGGATTGTTTTGTTTTCTTTTTTTAACACTTTTTCGCGATATTTCCGTGTGTTTTCAGGCTCGTCGAACGGTCACAGCCCGGTTTTGAATCTCTCGAAAACAGCGGGAAGCGGAAGCGTGGGCGAGCAGTCCGGTAGCGAAGCGGGCGCGTCGCATCGTTCTCAAGACGACGAGGAGGAGGACGATAATCTGTCCGAGGATCTCGACGACGACAATGAGAAGGACGAAGGTACGTAAAGTTCTGATTTTCGAATGTTTTCGAAAGTTCGTAAACGCGCGCGCGCGCAAGTGTAACACAAGGGGTAGAGGGGAGGGAGAAGCGCGAGAATTGGTCGTGCGCGCGAGGAACGAAACTCTCTGCGCGTTATTTATATCTTTCCCTCTGAGATAAAGCGGTCCGCTCGAAAGAGATCGTTCGCCTCGCAATCAATTAAAATCCGGGCGGTGCAACGTGTTCTCTCTCGCATTTAACATTCGACGAAAGTTGAAAGGACGATTGCGACTCAGGAGGGAGAAAGAGAGAAGAGGATTTGTGAAATAATTATATCGATTTTGCCGGACACGCCGAGTTTAAAGACGAGTTCTTCTAGACGACTGGCGGGTCAGGCCCCCTCATCCATCATCTCTCACCGAGAGAACGCGAGGGGATCCTCAGGATTCGTCTTCCATCGTGCTCCGAGAAACACACCGCAGCGGTTGCCAAATCCCGAGAGTTCTTAATCGCCTCGGATTGGCGACGTGAAATAAATAAATATCGTAAAAAGCGCTTGTATAAAACGCAATTATTATCTCGTGATAAATATCGACCGTCGATTTATTTCGATCGCATTGCGTGTCTTCGTGAAGCGACACCGAAAGCGACTTTGTTCTCTTTCCTAAAAAAAAAACAAAAATATCTTCTCGTAAAACCCCTCGCGGTATCCTCGCGAGAAGCGTCACTGCCGAGGCGAAGCAATCATTAGACTCGCATCTTCGGTATTTAGTTTCATTTTTCTAATGAAAGATGAATCGAGAGATAGAATCTCCCGTCCGACTTTTGTATCGCTATCCTTCCTCTCGCCTTGTTCCAGCGCTGTGGCCGGAGTCACTCGAGCGCGTCATAATCGTTTTGATTTTTAATCGAGACTCGACCATTGTCGCGCCGGCACGTTAATTGGTCGGCCTAATTAATGAAGCCTGGAGAGAAAGAGAGCGCTCGCGTAGGATCGCGACGTCTTCCGATCGATTCTGTTCCGTTCGATGTATTTTCTACATAGAAAATAAAAAAAAACCGAAACACAACGCTCGATCATCTCGCGCGTTGTCTCGAGATTATTAATTTTATTTCCACGATTCATTCACATACAATCGGACCGATTCGTTAAAATCTTTCTTTCTTATTGCGAGAAACCGAGTTCTGATTCTGATACCGCGTGACATTCGCCCGCGTTCTCGACGGGCGACGATGTGCGGATCGCAGAATCCACAGAAATGATAAAATTATCCGGTCTACGTCCGACCGCCAGAGGGGCTTGCGGCCCCGACTGGAAAACGGCGACCGCGCCGCGTGTTTGCGAAATTAGGGGATCCCGCGTCTACCCCCGAATTAGTGGGGCCTTCAAATTCCACGAAAGACGCGAGTTAGACGTATAAATTCCGGTGCGGGCCATGTAAGACGAAAGAGGCGGAGGGGTTGGGGAGGGGAGGGGGGGAAGATCAAATCCGTGTCTCGCAGCGTGTGTCGTACGCAACGTGGATAACATCCTACCCACGGTGCTCGCGGTGATCGAAGTAGAACCCCATCGAACACCCGTGGGAGTGTACACGTTCGTGGAATGCAGTTCTGATTTAATGAGACGCGCCACTATCTCGCTCTCGTTCTCGGAATCGGATTCGCCGCGATTCGTCGTCGTATCGTCCCCCTTCGATTCCCTTTCCGATCATTTTTTCTTTTCGATTACCACGTTCATTCCGCTTCATCGGGAGAAACCTCGAAGATAGCGCGCGCGCGTCTTTCCGTCGCAGCTGCGCGCATCGGGTAATTTTCTGGACACGTGTGGTGTCATTTTTTTGTTTTTTGCCTCTCGTTTCGGAGATTTCATATTGCGCGTTGTTGTCGAGAAGGGCGAGGAACGCATCCCCTTCCCGTGCGGCGGGAAGATTCCGCGAGGACTTCGCTTCCCTTCTTCTGATAATTGTAATGGGTCGTCGCTGAATATATAGACACGCCGCCTCTTCGGGAGAGAAGAAAGGGTCTCGCGAGCGCGCAAAGAGAACGAGAGGAGAGGGAGATGGAGATAGGCGTCCGCGCGGAACGGTTTTTCCTATCAAAAAGATGCCGGTCGGAGGGGGAGGAGGCACCGAAGACGCGCTTGAGCATTAAATCGGCCAATGGCAATAAGTAACCGAGTGCCGAGTGGCGTCGTTGTAGGTGCGCGCAGATAATTAAAAGACGATACAATAAACCACGTATCGTTAGCCATAAAGCAACCGAGCTGCTAAAGCCCATCGGTGTGGGCCGATACCGGCACGACCGATCACTTAAACCCCTCGGAACCCACGCAGACATCTTGTCTCGGCCGCCACTCTCATCGAGCTCTTCGGCAATAACCATAAGGCATCCCTTTATTTCGCCGATCCTCCCGGATTCTTCACGCCGATCGTGGAAGAACGACGCGCTTGCGCGTGTCTCTTCTTCTTGACGCGCGACGGAAAATCTGGATATTATCTTTTTTGTTTTTAAACGGTGATCGTTGGAGAGCGTCAATATCTCATGATGATTCAGTTTACACGCGCGCGACGTTTGGAAAAACAATTGTGTCAAAACTTTCTGTGTGTAGTTACGTTTTAAAACAAATTTTACTTCTTTTTTATAACCAGAAAAATTTTTCAATTTTGAATAATACAATTAATATAATCGAATTATACCGGTAGAAATTACTGCACTTCTATTCTCACTGAACTTATTAAGGATTAATGATAATATTTCGTTGTGTGCGTGTGTTTCTCTCGAGTATTTTAAACAAAATGCTAAATAGCTGTTCGGTCGAGACGCCCGGCTAATCGTCCGAATATGTTACCGCGCTCAATTCGTTGAATTTAATTCGCCCGCGTTGACGTTAAATCATAAAGTGGCGAAGGGTAACAAGTAGTCGTCGCAGGATTACGACTTCGAGACACGCACGCGATATGAGTCTACCCGTGCCTCTTGTACGACGGGACGTTGTTCGCCGACGATCGTACGGCGAATTTATCATTGACGTTTTGCTCTCGACAACGACGCGTGGTTGCTTCTCTCTCTTTCTCTACCGGGAAAAAATCTCACGCAAAATGAGCTCTGCGCGCGCGTTAGAGAGAATAGAGAGAAAGGCAAGTTTATTTATCGTCCTGGCGAAGTGTGTGCGTTTCTCGCGGCAAGCCGCGTTTCTCACCCGCCGCGTCTTTTATCACGCCACATCTGGAAAACTCTCCGAAAAAGACAGCGAGGAAAATTAAAAAAACGATGGTTAAAATTTTGCTTTCAGATCTGTCGGATGTGCCGGAGAACCTGCCGCTACCAGCGCCGGGCTCGGAAAGTCCTCCCCAGGCCCTGAATTACTCGCAGATAGCCTCGGCAGCAGTCGCGGTGTCTCAAAGCGCTCAGGACCCCTCGGTCTCGAGTACGGAGACCCTGCTGAGGAATATCCAGGGCCTGCTCAAGGTCGCGGCCGACAACGCGAGACAGCAGGAGAGGCAAATCAACTACGAGAAAGGTCAGTGGCAGGGGCTTTCTTAAGACACTTGAGAGCGCTCTCCACAATTTCATTATCTCTCAGCTCTCCCAGAACCACATTAAGAGGCATTAGTCCTTGTCGCGTCGACGAGACCCCCGAGCTCTTCTCTCCTCCCGATGCCCCGCACCTTTATCTCGCTCTGTTCCGGCCTCATTTATCGCGCACACCCTCTCGCTCGCTCCTCAACTTTTGCAATCGTGTTGCTTTGCGAGCGCGCGTCCTATAAGGATCCGAATATGCAAAATGTGTAAATGCGAATGGAGGAGAAGGAGAAGGAACTGGAAAATTAAAAAGTAAAGACATATGGAGAGATGTACATTGGGAGAGCGCGTCTCGCGCATTTGAATAATATGCCGTGTATATGTGTGATTTGTTTTTTTTAATCTCTCGCTATTAAGTTCGCGCGAGAATATTTTGCATGGAGGAAGCGCGGGGCGCGATCCACTTTCGGTGAAATATCACTCGCGAAAACGTTATCTTCGCTTATGTTGCTTTTGGCAGGCAAATACATTCGTTGGCGCGCGCGAGAGACAGGGATAATACAATTTAAATATCCCGGCCCCCGGTGGGATAGAGTTTGTACAGTAGATCGGTCACGATGAATGTAGGCAAGATCCATTAAGAAACGAGTCGCGAGAGATGACGTGCAGCATAAGCGAATTCTCTTTCTCATTATCGCGCATGATAAATCGGTCGGCGTTGTTATTAAATATCGTCGTCTCGCCGAGAGAGATCTCGGAACGAAGAGTCAGACAAAGAAGAAGCGAACGGCGCAAAGGAGGCGTTTTCGAGTCTTTCGCGCGTTAATGCGTCTTTCGGACTGACAATGACGAGACACGATTTAGCGGTAATAGATTTTTTTTTTTTTTGTACACAACATGTGTTCGTCGTTTAAATTCCTGATTGAGAGGAATTCCTGTTCTTGTTGAGAGTGATATTCATTTCCATTGTCGCAGAATCAAATTTGCCGCGTTTATCAGTCTCAAAAGTCGACAACGACGCACCTTCGGCGCGCGGATACAGAGAAATCGACGCCGATCTTCTTTTATCTGTGTTTTCGCGGGTTTTAAGTGGCGGGTTCTTATAAACGTCGCGTCGTCCGATATATACGGCGGAATAAAGTATCGGCGAGAGTTCGCGGCGCGTTTAATAAATTCCCGAACGAAACGTGTAATCTCGGGGATTTAATTACCCATTAGCCGATACAAACTGTCATTTTCAGGGTCGTAATCGCTAATACGTTTACCGCGCCTTAGCGCGTTAGGAATGCGTCGAGCATATCGGTGCTTGAACGACAGCGGTTTCGGCCGTTCGTGACGGGCGAATTTCTCGAGAAAGAAAGAGGATTGGGATCTGATAAAAAAAAAAAAAAAATACATAAATAAAAATAAACGACCATTTCCGTGTGATTGACGCTTTCTTCCCCACGTTACTTTTACTTGTTCAAAATAATATTGTGTTAACACGAAGAGAATTACCTTTAATTGCGATCGCGAGAAAGAGAGAGAGAGAGAGAGAGAGAGAAAGACTTGTATCCCGCTTCGTGACTCTTTAACTTGGCTCAGTAAGCGCGCGGACTTTAATAGGAAAAGACGCGCTCGGTCGGGCGATCGAGAAATCGACACGCGCAACGCCGTGAACACTAACAAGTTCATTTGGCGCACGTCGCGACGTTAAGCTCGGAATGTGGCGGCGCGGCGGTTATTGCTGGTCGGCTTAACAGATATTCCGCGTGCACGTTCGTGAGTTCGTTCGGAGGCGAGTGAAAGAGAGAAAGAGAGATAAAGAGGTAGAATGAGAGACTCAGGGCTGCGTGAGTCGATCGACAGACGAACCGATAAAAGGCAGAAGGGGGCGGATAAAGGGCGCTGCTGCGCTGCGGTATATAGAAAAAAAAAAAAAAAAAAAAAAAAAGAAGGAAAAGGAAACGCGCGCGCGGCAACGACGAGGATCGACAAGAGCGGCGGAGGCCGCAAGGGAAGTAGTCAGAAAGAGCGAGAGAGGCCCCGATTTAATACTCGAACGAGCCAGCAGCTCGTTTTACACCAGATGGTTTTACATACGGCCACTATCGTGTTACCAACCTTCAGTCGTGCATCTCCGTCGGCACGAGATCGGTGCCCCCTTCGCGTACTTATGTATGTATACGTATGTACGTGGCGTCGTGTACACACATATGTGTACGCACACAACTTATCCGCATTTGTGTTCATCGGTTTCGAGCCAATCCGCGGACGAGAGATGCTTTCGACGCGGAATATTATTATTGATTATTATTATTCGTTTTTGTCTTGACGCGCGTTATTATTGATATTGCTCGTCCGGCCTGTTCCCGCCAAAGACAGCCCCGTCATTATCGCAGACATGCTGAAGAGAGAGACTCGAAAGAAGCGTTCTTTCTTTATCCTCTCATTTCCCGCCGTGTCGGATTTCGTAAACTCGCTAATACATCGTGAAACGTAGAGTCTTATATATGCGCGCAAACACCGACGCCACGAAGAAGAAAACCGCGATCGACTCATTACACACGAGAATGTTCGTTCGAGCGTTTTACGTCGGTTTAATATCGCGCGCAGAATCCAAATTTCGCACAAAAACACAAAAACTTTAAATATTTAATTTAGATAAATGTACATATGTTTCGTAACAAAAATTTACCGAGAGAAAAATATATTCTCGACAATTTTGGCGCGTGTATTCTTCTCGTGAAAAACGCGCGTTTTTTTTTTTTTTTTTTTTTTTTTTCACTCACTGTTAAAATATTTGCTCGTTAATGGCAAAGCAAATGCGGCCACTTGTATCAGATATGATCTTTCGAGTGTGTAAGCAGGTACATTCAGATATCATTAGCTCCGCTCTCTCGACAGCAACAGTTCGGAAGCGCAAGAACGAGGGAGCGTTTCGTGGTGAAAAAGAGAGAAAGAAATAAGGGGTGAGTCTGTTCTGTGTGTCCCCCCGCTGTATATGTACTTATACGTACATATACACGTAACATGTCGTACGCAGAACGATATGAGATTCTAGCGGTAGAAGGTAAGCGAGGAGAACCGGAGGTCGCTATCTTTCGATCCTCGACGAGATAAGAGAAGCGTAGGAGCCGCGGCCGGACCGAATGCAAGCTAAGGATTATATGTGTCCGGCGCGGGTTGCAACGGGGGAGAGGGGGAGACGACTCTCTCCTCGGTTAAAAGGCTTTCCGAGCGCGGAATATAAAGAGGGGATTGAGTTGTAGCCGCGAGTGGAGGATCTTATGTAGATTCCTTGTAGATCGTGCACCCGATTCGATCGCGATCGGCTCTGTGTACCTGGTACCGGGTTAATTAAAATTGTAGAAGCTGCAACGTCTTTTTTTGTCTCTCTCTCTCTCTCTCTCTCTCTTTTGTTTTTTTCCTCTCTCTCTCTCTCTCTCTCTCTCTCTCCCCCTCCCCCCTTCTTTCAGCAAACTCTCCTTCTGCCCCTATCTTTTTGTGCCTTCCTTTCTCTCTGTTCCACCCTCAATTCCCCGGCACTTTCCTCGTTCGCCGCGAGCGACGACGTCTCGCCGCTTTCTTTGTATCTTCTTGCGGCTTCTTCTTCTTTGTTTTTTCTCCACCCTCTTCCTCGTGTCCTGCTCTCCACGGTGGCTGCAACGTGGCGACCGCACCTCGCTACATAAACTCCCGCGATGTTTGGCCGCCGCGCCGCCGCTGCTTGGGAGGCTGGTTCATGTGAAATCCCATTACCGCAAGCGGCGATGCGGCACGACGACGACGACGACGACGACGACGACGACGACGACGACGACGGAGAGAAGAAGCAAGAGATGCGCGCGCGGCCACAACGCGCTGCTATTGAGCAAAGGTATCTATACGTAACGAGCGAAACGCGAATTACCGACGCCGTTGTCCGTGATAGAGATACAAACGAGAGACGTGATATTTTCGTTAATCTGTTTGTTACACGAGAGAGGTTTTCTCGGACGGGCGCACACGAGTGGATTCTCTCACGGCGGTTCTATTTCTCTCTCTCTCTCTCTCTCTCTATTTCTCTCGCATTCCCAATGAGACAACGTGAAGCGTTTTGCAACGCAAACAGAAACGCTGATAACAAACATTCCGACCCGTACCGCCTAACGTGACGCCGGTGGTTTGCTGCGCCTCTTCTCGGTTCAATGCGGACTGATTGATTTATGCCTTAACCCTGCCAGCCAACGACCCACCCACCCTCCTCTTTTCCTCCCGGAGAGATAGCCCTAACCGAGGCTATCTCTATATCGCTCGGCGAACAGCCATTATCGCGCAAACTGTGTACGCGCATATATTGACGGTACACTTGTTTCTTTCATTGCCTTTGTGCACACACACACACACACACACATACTTGTTTCTTTTCCGTGAATCAATAAGAATAAAAAATATACTGATGGATGTGCATCCTTCTCTCTGTGCGTTATTAAACATTAAAACGTTTGATAAAACTGTATAAATTGACTTTTGTCAACGTGTACATCGAGAAATATGTACGCAAGAAACGTTTTCATAAAGTGCTTGATAAAACGGCTGTTTTAAAAATGTGTGTTCTTTGTTGATCGCGCACACACATATATATATATATATATAAATAGTATCTTTTTTATTGCGCGCCGACTGTTTATTTCGATTAGCGTCGATATTCCAGTCGATTTAATTGAGAGCGCGAAATAGGTCTATTGATCCGCATCGCGACCTTTCTCCTCTTGCGCGAACACACCCCGAGAGAATCGTTCTATGTGATGACGCTCGGCAATAAATAGCTGGTGCACTTTTATAGCACCCGTGTTAGAAGCGAAGAAAAAAAAAGAAAGAGAAAACTCGTGCCGATTTTCTTTCGCATAAAACAGAGATGAGAGGAGTCGGGAACAGGCATTGCCGTCATGCAAACGCGCGCGCGCACAGCGAGCAATCTAATTTTCAAATTTTAAACGACACGGGTATAAAAGAGGAAATGCAAGCTTCTGAGTT